TACTAATGGAATGTTAGTTGATCATATGTATTCCTCCTTGTATTATTTATATAAATGAAATAGAAATAATTTCTGGGGAAGAAAAGAATCTTCTTAATCATTTCATTAAAGCTAATATATTATGCGAATCTACAGCAGAGCCGTCAAATTTATATCAGTGAATGACTAAATATTTGATCTGGTAATCAACAATGTATTACAGATGAAAATCAGCAAGAGATTTAAGGATGCATATACAAAAGCAATATCTAACTATTTTGTACTTGACTGAAATATTTTAAACCATGTAGACTGTCACTTGCTCATTTATTTAACACCATGTCTCAAAAGTAACTTTTCCCTCACCGCGATGTCTTAATTGTACCTGTTAAGAAATCACAAACGTGACATATATTTCATTTCTTCCATCAAATTCCAGTAAAGGAGTTATTGATTAAAAAGACTTCCCATGAAAAATGTAGAGGAGCATGGACTTAAATGCTTTATTAACATATTATACTTTAACTAAAATTAATACCACTTCTTCACTGAATAATTAATTTAATAATGATATTTTACAATTAACTTAAATCTTGCCATGAACATTATTAAATGCACTATAATTACACAGTTAATGAATTTATTAGTGATATAGGCTAAGGTAAAAAATTATGTAGTCAATAAGAATGACAAGAATTTTCTCGCGAAAAGTAACAGCAAACACTTCAAATCAAATTTTGACTGAGCTACAGTTGCAGACGGAGATGTCTCTGCGAAGCGAATATAATCAAGATATTGCACATTTGACTGTTTCAAAGGTAGATACGACAATATTCAACTGAAACATAAAAATATCACATACGTATTGGAAAGCTTTATTGGTTGCATGTGGCTAGCATGTTTACCTTAAAAAAAAGAAATGTACTTAAGTGAGCTGATGACTTTTACTAGGCTTCCTCGTTCAAGGAAATAATTGCAATTCCCGATTTAAAAGAATTTCCATCCCCAAACAATTGTACTTAACAATACAGAAATGTCAAAACAGGTTTAAAGTTTTAAAAGTTAAATTGGAAGGAGTAGGAATGGAAGAATGAGCGATCAATCCCTAACCTAAAACACTTTAAAGTATATTAAGCTGAACATTAGCAAAAAAATTTGGAGAAATATAAAGTCAATAAATAATCGACAGTTTGATTTACTGATTAAAAAAAACCAAAAAAAAAAAAAATAATTAACAGAAGAAGAGAACTGAACAAACGATTTAGTAAATAAAAGAATCCACCAAAGTACATAATTTCCATTCCAAATAACTACATTAAAAAATACAAAAATGTGCTAACTGTTATGCGTTCTAAAAGGGATAAGCGTACCCTAATCTTGTTGAAAAAGCAAGATGACCAGTCACTGTCATCTTGCTTTTTCAACAGCATAGTATAGAGAATTCTTATTTCCTACAGGCTATCTCTCGGGAATTTCGTCTCTCTGAAATTCCTCTCGGAAATTCAACATCATGGAAGAGTGAAATATTTTCTGTATTTATTGCTTTCTATTCACAATTGCATGGATTTTAGAATTTCAGTTGAAAAAGGTATTTCATTCACATTCTTTTTTATATCCTTATTTATAAAATTTTTCATAAAAATTAATGGAACGTTCCTTTCAAGCAATCTAAATCATTTGGTTCTTGTTTTTTCATATTTGAATAAGTAATGCATTTTTCCTATTCTCGAAAAAAAAAATAGTTCTATACATGGTCTTCTTTATTAGAGATTTTCTTATAGTTAAACATCTAATAATTTCCTACGGGATGTAAAAATGGGAATTAAAAAGACTGTGTAAAGGAAAATCGGATTACAGCGATTGGAAGTGATAGATATCAAATCAGAAAATTTTGTATGGTAATCAAAAAAGTTGAAAATTCAGCTGGTTAATGAGTTAGCATTTTGTTTATTTGCGGAGTATTTTAAATTATACTTTTCATATATTATTGATTTTAAATTCAGCGTTTTACTTTATTTCTAAAATTTATGAACATTCTTTTTTTTCAATACTATTGCAGATTTGTCATCGGTGCACAGCATTTTATCTACTCCGGATTTGTGGATCAATTATATGATATACCGACCAATGGATTTGTCTCTTAGCTCCTTACGAAATAAATCTTCACTCAATATAATTTGTGCGATAAAATATTTGAATGTAAAATATTTGCATCACAATTTTTGTTTTTATTTCTACTCTTTGGAAAATTATGTTCTACTTATGTACGTTCTCTTAAACTAGTTGAGTAATCAATCCATATTCTCCGATGTAAATCAAGATTTTCTATTATACTAGATCAGTATTTGATGAGTTTTTTTTTGCGAAGTATTTAAAAGCATATTTCGGTTATCGTTATTCCCAGTAAATATTATTAAGCAAATGTCAGGAGTTTCCTCTCTCATCAATTGGTTTTAGAAATATAAAGTTGCCAGAAGTTGACATCAATTAGTGGACGAATACTGAATATATTTTCTATTTCCATTGCGTTTCTTATCCTATTATAGTTCAGATGACCAACTGAAGTTACTTAGAATTAATTCTGAATAACCATCTAGATTATAAACCTTCTAATTAACAAACAGAACCGTTGGATTTATCAATATCAAAAGTGAAAGAGGAAGGAAATAAATCGCAAGGCTTATCAGTGAAAAGAGTGAGTGATGAACGAATTAAACCGCGACGACTTGTTCCAATCGAAACACTGACGGAAGTAATTGAACCAGAAAAAGAAAGCACAGGAAAGAAACGGCGTTGTGATATATGTCAAAAGGAAATAACACATATGAAAAAACATGTGATGACTCATACCGGTGAAAAGCCGTATAGTTGTCCAGTATGCAAGAGAAATTTCACTCAATCCTGCCATATAAAAAATCATATGATGACTCATACTGCTGAAAAGCCGTATAGTTGTCCACTATGCAAGAGAAATTTCACTCAGTTCGGGAATATGAAAAAACATGTGATGATTCATACTGGTGAAAAGCCGTACAGTTGTTCGATATGCAAAAAGAATTTTATTCAGTCCAGCAGTATGAAATCACATATGATGATTCATACCAGTGAAAAGCCGCACAGTTGTTCGATATGCAAAAGGAATTTCGGTGATCTCCGTAATATGAAAAGACATATGACGACTCATGCTGGTGAAAAGCCGTACAGTTGTTCGATATGCAAAAAGAATTTCACTCGGTCTGACAGTATGAAATCACATATGATGATTCATACCAGTGAAAAGCCGCACAGTTGTTCGATATGCAAAAGGAATTTTGGTGATCTCCGTAATATGAAAAAGACATATGACGAATCATGCTGGTGAAAAGCCGTACAGTTGTTCGATATGCAAAAAGAATTTCACTCGGTCTGACAGTATGAAATCACATATGATGATTCATACGGGTGAAAGCCGTATAGTTGTTTGATATGCAGAAAAGGTTTCATACATAAACACCATTTGCAGTCTCACATGGCAACTCATGAAATGAATAGACCTGTCTACCACTATACTGTATGCAGTAAAGATTTTCAGGCTAAATCCGGCTTGAAATCGCACATGAAGAATCATTAAATTTCGCGTACTTTAAACAAAAGAAATGCTCTCTGCTATTTCTATTTTATTATTTACATTCTCTGTTGTTAGCTATTTCTTTTGTTTGATCTTATATGCACATTTATGTCGTTTTTCGTCCCTGTTTTTTGTTCTTGCAGCGTTTTTCTTTACAAGTAACAAGTAATCTACACAAGTAATCTTGCATGCTGTGTACGAAGAACTTGCGAATAAATATCGCTATTTTTAAATTACTTATGAAATGGAATTGCTCATATGTATTCCTCTCTCGATTATTGCATAAATAAAATGAAAATCAATTTTTGGGAAAGAAAAGAATCTTCTTAAACACAACATATCATTTCATAAAGTTGTTTGGTTATGCGGTTTACAACAGAGCGTCAAACTTATATCAGCGAGTGACTAAATATTTAATCGGCTATTAATAAAGTATTACAGTTAAAAATCAACAAGAAATTTTCAGAAAACATATACAATATCTGTCTAATTATTCGTGCTGATCGAATTATTTTTAGAACCATTAGCTTTCACTTTGAACCATTAGCTTTCACTTTAAAGTTGAAACCATTTAGCATTTATAAATCAACATTACCAATCATAAGAGATGCAGCAATGTAATTTTCCATTCTTTCCAATATTCCCAAAAATTTGAAAATGTGGAAAAATTGAAGCGAAATATAATAAGATTACAAAAAGTGTCATAACTGCTTTGCATAAATTATTTATAACAATAAAATACAGAAGCTGAAAAGAAATGATTCAGTATAAAGGATTAGGCAGTACTGCTATTATCATTTTATTATACATTATTATATATTCTATTATTATTGCTATACATACGTCATTATACGTGGACGTAAGTTATTAATACACGTAGTTAGCCACTCCCATCTGAATGAGAACTTATACATGCGATTATCGAACAATATCTAACAGAACTGATCGGTTGGCCTCTGTCACACTCTCCTACAATTTTCATTCAGTAGTTTTATTTCATTCATTTCGACAGAAGACGACAGAAGATTACCTCTTTTCAAACTTTTGAGTTATGACAGGGATTTTGGGATTAGATGATAAATTTGTTAATAAACTAATATATTTAGAAAAGCATTTACTTGAAGAAATATCTCCTTTGCGCATTTGTCAAATAGCAGCGACATTATTCTTTAGAAGCAACCGTCAATAAATTTGAATGTTTTTCAGAATTGGCAACAAACTATTCTCATTAACATGCATTTCATCTATTTATTCTTCTTTGTCTTCCAATTGAGCAATATTCGAAACACAGTAAGTCCACATAAAGTTAAAAAAAAAAAACAACATAACACTACAATACCATCGGCATTTAAATTTTTCACAGTGATTTTTCATTGATAATTTCATATCATTTAAGGTAGCGCAAACGGAACAAACAGAACCGTTGGATTTATCAATATCAAAAGTGAAAGAGGAAGGAAATAAATCGCAAGGCTTATCAGTGAAAAGAGTGAGTGATGAACGAATTAAACCGCGACGACTTGTTCCAATCGATACACTGATGGAAGTAATTGAACCAGAAAAAGAAAGCACAGGAAAGAAACGGCGTTGTGATATATGTCAAAAGGAAATAACACATATGAAAAAACATGTGATGACTCATACCAGTGAAAAGCCGTATAGTTGTCCAGTATGCAAGAGAAATTTCACTCAATCCTGCCATATAAAAAGTCATATGATGACTCATACTGGTGAAAAGCCGTATAGTTGTCCAGTATGCAAAAAGAATTTCGGTGATCTCTGTAATATGAAAAGGCATATGACGACTCATACTGGTGAAAAGCCGTACAGTTGTTCGATATGCAAGAGAAATTTCACTCAATCCTGCCATATAAAAAATCATATGATGACTCATACTGGTGAAAAGCCGTATAGTTGTTCGATATGCAAAAAGAATTTTATTCAGTCCAGCAGTATGATAGCACATATGGTGGTTCATACCGGTGAGAAGCCGTACAGTTGTTCCATATGCAAAAAGAATTTCGGTGATCTCTGTAATATGAAAAGGCATAAGAAGACTCATACCGGTGAAAAGCCGTATAGTTGTTCAGTATGCAAGAGAAATTTCACTCAATCCTGCCATATAAAAAATCATATGATGACTCATACTGGTGAAAAACCTCATAGTTGTCCACTATGCAAGAGAAATTTCACTCAGTTCGGGGATATGAAAAAACATGTGATGATTCATACTGGTGAAAAGCCGTACAGTTGTTCGATATGCAAAAAGAATTTTATTCAGTCCAGCAGTATGAAATCACATATGATGATTCATACCAGTGAAAAGCCGCACAGTTGTTCGATATGCAAAAGGAATTTCGGTGATCTCCGTAATATGAAAAGACATATGACGAATCATGCTGGTGAAAAGCCGTACAGTTGTTCGATATGCAAAAAGAATTTCACTCGGTCTGACAGTATGAAATCACATATGATGATTCATACGGGTGAAAGCCGTATAGTTGTTTGATATGCAGAAAAGGTTTCATACATAAACACCATTTGCAGTCTCACATGGCAACTCATGAAATGAATAGACCTGTCTACCACTATACTGTATGCAGTAAAGATTTTCAGGCTAAATCCGGCTTGAAATCGCACATGAAGAATCATTAAATTTCGCGTACTTTAAACAAAAGAAATGCTCTCTGCTATTTCTATTTTATTATTTACATTCTCTGTTGTTAGCTATTTCTTTTGTTTGATCTTATATGCACATTTATGTCGTTTTTCGTCCCTGTTTTTTGTTCTTGCAGCGTTTTTCTTTACAAGTAACAAGTAATCTACACAAGTAATCTTGCATGCTGTGTACGAAGAACTTGCGAATAAATATCGCTATTTTTAAATTACTTATGAAATGGAATTGCTCATATGTATTCCTCTCTCGATTATTGCATAAATAAAATGAAAATCAATTTTTGGGAAAGAAAAGAATCTTCTTAAACACAACATATCATTTCATAAAGTTGTTTGGTTATGCGGTTTACAACAGAGCGTCAAACTTATATCAGCGAGTGACTAAATATTTAATCGGCTATTAATAAAGTATTACAGTTAAAAATCAACAAGAAATTTTCAGAAAACATATACAATATCTGTCTAATTATTCGTGCTGATCGAATTATTTTTAGAACCATTAGCTTTCACTTTAATGAATTATGTCAACACTTTTGGCAAAGTTTTATCAGCCTATTAACTTTTTTTGTCGGTGTGATGTCATTAAATCACAATGTGCCGTATATTTGATTTGTTTTAATCTTTTGAATTTAATCACTCTATTTTTTCCAATTTCTATAATTTATTTTTTTACATGCTGGAATTGTGAGAAGCAAATTTGTTTAATAGTTCGTAATTAATTAAAATATTGGCAGATCTCAGAAAATTGATAGCGGAAAAGAAAGAAGGCAACGGAGAGAAACTTTCATGTAACCATAATGATTAATTATTAATCATTATTTTAGGAATTTTTAATAGCTAACTATTGTTAACTTCATTGAAAAAAAAAAACGTCTGATACTAACGGTATTCGAGTAATTCAAAAAATCCAGGTGATGGAATAAAAAAAGCACTAAAAGATAATGCTAGAATTATTGCTTTAAAATCATAGTGTTTGAAGCTTCCGTTCGACAGTAAGATAATAGCAGTTTATAATTACAGAAGGAAACAAAAACGACTGAAACTGTTTTTTTTTTTTTTTTTTATTATTCATAAATGAAAGGAAAATATTTAATACTAATTTTGCTCATTTATCAGTTTTAACATCATTTTTTTTTTTTTTTAATGAAAACAATATTTATAAGAGAGAAATCGTTGAAAGAGAAAATTTCTGTCCATCGCATGGTTAATTTAGTAAAAAAACAAATTTTCAATTTGATTAATTAGCAGCTACCACTAATCAATGCAAACTGTAATGAGCCGTGCAACAGAAGTTGTATTTATAATTTTGAGAATGGCATAGATATAAAGGAAAAAAATTTGTTAATATTCATATTAACAAATATTTTAAATGATAAAAATATTTGAAAAGTAGAACAACTGATTCATTTACTTGTTATGTCAGTTTTGTTTTTCTCACTCACTTTGTTACATCATTTAGACATCATTTACATATGTTCAACTTGGCTTATTTACTGTGTAAAAAGAACTTTTTTATCTTTTGCTTTACTTCAACAATCACGAAACAAGAAAAGAAAAAAAAAAGTAGCTATTGCTAAATAAATAAAAAAAATCAGTGAAGATCAATTAATAACGATGGTGTCACATCCTTGCTTATAAGAACAAATTGAAACCTGTCCTTCTTAAATTCTACAATGAGAAATTGCAGATAATTCCAGTTCGAACTTGTCGTATGAAGCCATTAGGCAACTCCATTTGTTACATAGCCCATAGATGGCGAACTTATACCTTCAAGTTCAGCACTTAAGTTGTACCAACCACACATTGTGCAACGTTGCTGATTACTGTCAGTAAATGATAGGATCATTACCATCGCCTTTTTTCTTCATATTTTCATTGCAATTGGCATTTGAAAAGTTTAAAAGTATTGGAAATCATCAATAAGAATTCATTTGACAGCTATCTACATCACATGGTGTTAAATATGAAAATCGTAAAAAAAATTTAATAACCTAATTTGTACACAACACAAAGCAAATTTAAAGTTGAAACCATTTAGCATTTATAAATCAACATTACCAATTATAAGAGATGCAGCAATGTAATTTTCCATTCTTTCCAATATTCCCAAAAATTTGAAAATGTGGAAAAATTGAAGCGAAATATAATAAGATTACAAAAAGTGTCATAACTGCTTTGCATAAATTATTTATAACAATAAAATACAGAAGCTGAAAAGAAATGATTCAGTATAAAGGATTAAGCAGTACTGCTATTATCATTTTATTATACATTATTATATATTCTATTATTATTGCTATACATACGTCATTATACGTGGACGTAAGTTATTAATACACGTAGTTAGCCACTCCCATCTGAATGAGAACTTATACATGCGATTATCGAACAATATCTAACAGAACTGATCGGTTGGCCTCTGTCACACTCTCCTACAATTTTCATTCAGTAGTTTTATTTCATTCATTTCGACAGAAGACGACAGAAGATTACCTCTTTTCAAACTTTTGAGTTATGACAGGGATTTTGGGATTAGATGATAAATTTGTTAATAAACTAATATATTTAGAAAAGCATTTACTTGAAGAAATATCTCCTTTGCGCATTTGTCAAATAGCAGCGACATTATTCTTTAGAAGCAACCGTCAATAAATTTGAATGTTTTTCAGAATTGGCAACAAACTATTCTCATTAACATGCATTTCATCTATTTATTCTTCTTTGTCTTCCAATTGAGCAATATTCGAAACACAGTAAGTCCACATAAAGTTAAAAAAAAAAAACAACATAACACTACAATACCATCGGCATTTAAATTTTTCACAGTGATTTTTCATTGATAATTTCATATCATTTAAGGTAGCGCAAACGGAACAAACAGAACCGTTGGATTTATCAATATCAAAAGTGAAAGAGGAAGGAAATAAATCGCAAGGCTTATCAGTGAAAAGAGTGAGTGATGAACGAATTAAACCGCGACGACTTGTTCCAATCGATACACTGATGGAAGTAATTGAACCAGAAAAAGAAAGCACAGGAAAGAAACGGCGTTGTGATATATGTCAAAAGGAAATAACACATATGAAAAAACATGTGATGACTCATACCGGTGAAAAGCCGTATAGTTGTCCAGTATGCAAGAGAAATTTCACTCAATCCTGCCATATAAAAAGTCATATGATGACTCATACTGGTGAAAAGCCGTATAGTTGTCCAGTATGCAAAAAGAATTTCGGTGATCTCTGTAATATGAAAAGGCATATGACGACTCATACTGGTGAAAAGCCGTACAGTTGTTCGATATGCAAGAGAAATTTCACTCAATCCTGCCATATAAAAAATCATATGATGACTCATACTGGTGAAAAGCCGTATAGTTGTTCGATATGCAAAAAGAATTTTATTCAGTCCAGCAGTATGATAGCACATATGGTGGTTCATACCGGTGAGAAGCCGTACAGTTGTTCCATATGCAAAAAGAATTTCGGTGATCTCTGTAATATGAAAAGGCATAAGAAGACTCATACCGGTGAAAAGCCGTATAGTTGTTCAGTATGCAAGAGAAATTTCACTCAATCCTGCCATATAAAAAATCATATGATGACTCATACTGGTGAAAAACCTCATAGTTGTCCACTATGCAAGAGAAATTTCACTCAGTTCGGGGATATGAAAAAACATGTGATGATTCATACTGGTGAAAAGCCGTACAGTTGTTCGATATGCAAAAAGAATTTTATTCAGTCCAGCAGTATGAAATCACATATGATGATTCATACCAGTGAAAAGCCGCACAGTTGTTCGATATGCAAAAGGAATTTCGGTGATCTCCGTAATATGAAAAGACATATGACGACTCATGCTGGTGAAAAGCCGTACAGTTGTTCGATATGCAAAAAGAATTTCACTCGGTCTGACAGTATGAAATCACATATGATGATTCATACCAGTGAAAAGCCGCACAGTTGTTCGATATGCAAAAGGAATTTTGGTGATCTCCGTAATATGAAAAGACATATGACGAATCATGCTGGTGAAAAGCCGTACAGTTGTTCGATATGCAAAAAGAATTTCACTCGGTCTGACAGTATGAAATCACATATGATGATTCATACCGGTGAGAAGCCGTACAGTTGTTCCATATGCAAAAAGAATTTCGGTGATCTCTGTAATATGAAAAGGCATATGACGACTCATACTGGTGAAAAGCCGTACAGTTGTTCGATATGCAAGAGAAATTTCACTCAATCCTGCCATATAAAAAATCATATGATGACTCATACTGGTGAAAAACCTCATAGTTGTCCAGTATGCAAGAGAAATTTCACTCAGTTCGGGGATATGAAAAAACATGTGATGATTCATACCGGTGAGAAGCCGTACAGTTGTTCGATATGCGGAAAAAGTTACACACAGAAATGCACCTTGCAAAGTCACATGGTAACTCATCAAATGAATAATAGACTTATCACTGTATGATAAGCAGTAAAGATTTTCAGGCTAAATGCAGATTGAAATTGCATTTGAAGAATCATTAAAGCTTGAGCACTTTAAACGGAGGAAATGCACTCTGCTAATTCTGTTATTGTTGATTACTTCCTATTTTTTATTGATAAATTATTGTTTGTTCTTTGATCTTATATGCATACTAGTATCACTTTCTTTTCGTTATCCCTGCAATGTATTTTTCGGCATTAACTTCAACCACTGATTTCATTTGCAAATAACCTTGCATGCTATGCACGAAGAATTTGCAAATAAATATCGCTATTGCTTAATTACTAATGAAATCCTCGATTGTTGAATAAATAAAATGAAAATCAATTTTTGGGAAAGAAAAGAATCTTCTTAATCATATCATTTCATAATGTTGTTTGATTATGCGGTTTACAACAGAGCGTAAAACTTATATCAGCGAGTGACTAAATATTTAATCGGCAATCAACAAAGTAAAACAGCAGGATTTGAGGAGGCATAGCAATAGCACGTCTATTTAAGCTATTTGTGTTGACTGAAATGTTCCATTAACTCTCACTTTGATCAATTATTTCAACACTGCAAAAGTTTTTTCAGCCAAACCACTTTTTCCTTCATTGCGATGTCATTTTTCCAAATTTTTTTTTTTTTGCATCAAGAAATCACAACTTGGTATATACTTGATTTTTTTTATCTTTTTAATTTAATCACTTCATTTGTTCCAGTTTCTATGATTTTTTTTAACATGCTGGAATTGTGAGAACCAAATTGTTTAATCTCCTAGAAAGCAACGAAGGGAAAGAAAGCGACGAAGCAACAAAAGTGATTGGTTTCTTAGCGCAAAGAATTTGTTTTGAATAAGTGAAACTTATAAATGCTGAAAAGAATTTATGAAATTACTGCTGGTATTTATTTCAGATTTGAGAATAAAGAGTAACTTAATCAAACTGTTTTAGTCATTTTTTCCACAGCGGATAACAACTGTTTTCAAACTTTTGGCACCATGAAAAAATTTTGAGACATTTTACATATATTTAGAAAAGCATTTATTGAAAAAATTTCTTCTTCACGCAATTTTGGAGCAACGAGAGCGGTATTGTTATAAGTAACCATGTTCGATATTCATAAGCAAATTTTTCTCGATCTTGGAGTATAAAAATGTTAAGAATCCAGCAGCATATTTACTTCAAATATTGGTAATTGTAAGAAAGAATGTCTGCTTTAGCAAGAATGTCTTAGAATACTGTATAATTTAAATATATACAAGAGCACTAGTGGCATTGAAATTGCTTTCATCTCAGTACTGGCAAGAAAACAAAAACGGATTATCAGTTGACTCCATGTCAGGAATGATAACGAATAACAATATCTATGGCTTGAAAATAAATTGAAAAGATATGATTCATGAAGGAAACAGTTAATTAGCAAGATGTGCTCTACTTTTCTTCTTATGTTCTTCCTCGATCATATCATATTGTTAGCGAAATATATTGAAATTTATAAAAGTTTGTTTTCTTTACAAGTGATCAAAATTCTGTTCCTTTTATTTTAAAACATTTATATTTTCCAAGAAGCCCATTCCAATGTTTATTAACATGCAAACATGTTTTTAGTTTTCAGTGCTAAATTTTTTTTTTTTGAAAAACTAGAAAAAAATAGAAAAGAAAATTGCTAGATTTTTTTAACTTAATTGTTTAAATATTTTTTGCTTTTTCAGGTTAAATCTGCTTTTCGCTTTAATTATTGCACCTTTTTGATACATTTTCGGAGTAAATATACTGTATAAGATATCTGAATAATTAATCGGAGATTGGTTAATAATTATTTTCAGTATGTTATAAAAACATCCAGAGATAATTCAGAAGAGGAAGAAAGATTTCATCATTTAAGAATGGAATCTCGAAAATCATTCATGGAAAAGTAAGAAGGCGATAATTGATGCTGCTGTTGTTGAAGATACACAAGGATTAGATGATACAGAAGTTTCATCCATAATTTAGTTTCTTAGTTGAAATAAACTACGACACCTTTTCGATCAGTGTAATTAAATTCATCAAGAGTTAAAATTAGTTTGAGAGAAAAGAAGTGACGAATAGAAAATTCTTTTTTTTTAAAGCTATATCTATGCCTTTTTTCTTTCTAGGATATTGTTTCCAGCTATTTTATAAATTTTTTTCTAGGATTGTGTTGTTTCTCTACTGATGAACGACAGAAATCCAAAATTGGTAAGTGTTCAGAAATTGAATGTTCTCAGAATAGTAGATTTCAGCTTTAAAGTATTAGAGTATGATCATTTTTTAAAAACTTTTATAAGAATTGATTTTAATTATAAAGAAACTAGAGTAAAGGGTATAAACAAAAGTTATGTATGGATGGTTGTTTTCAGCAAAATCAGCACTTGTGTATTTAAAAAGAAAATGGTCTGATGTAGAGGAGAGACCGGTGAAAAGGTGTAATATTTAATCAAGCGGTTTTCAGTCTTTCAGTCTTTTTTAAGCTGGTCAATTTTTTTTTTTTTAAGTGAATAGAAGAAAATTTGTAGCCATAAGCATATCTTAAATATAATAATATTATAGGAGTTGTTAACTTAGAATTGTTATATTGTAGAGTTGATAAGCTAGCATAGTTATATTATACATCTGATAAGTTAGAATAAAAAGCAGGAATAAGAAATAAGGAATAAATAAAAACTAAGCATTAAGTTATTTAGTCATTTTTTTCTGTTGGTTTTTTTTCTTAAGCATAGATATAGTCTTTTTGCTTTTTACTTAAAATTATTTTTTACTAAAAAATGTCTTTTAACAATTTCAATATATCTAATTACTTATTGTTAAAACTAAATAATACAATTTTTTTATCAGTTTTATCACTTTTTAGATGTAGAAATAATCATTTATACTTTCGTCTAAATCTTTTTGTTAAAACAATTTCAACATTACTTATTAAAAAACTAAGCAATAAAATCAATAACTTACATTGTTTATTTAAGCATTAAACATTATTTGAAATCATAAAGTGTTGATAGTGACTTATCAATTTTTTTCCCTTTTGCTAATAGTATTTGGTGATATTGAATTTGTTGTTACCAGTAATACTTTTGTAGAATGCTGAAAATTTTCTCTGATAAAAAAAGATGAAAAAAGGAGTTTTTTTTTCACTAATTTTCTAAAATTTTTTAATCATTTTTTTAAATTTTTTTTAAACTTTTTAAGTTTTTTTAAAATTTTTTTATTTTTTTTCATTAATTTTTTTTACTAATTTTATTTACTAATTTCATCTCATCTCATATTATAATATTCAATTAAATTTGTACTAGCTCGAATGAGTAAATAAATATTTGTAAAAATGTTTGTATTAAAAGTATCGCAATTAATTAAGAACAGGAATTTTTGAAATGATTAACAACTTAATTGCATTACAACTAATTCTAATTAGTAATTTATTAAATAAAGAGAAAAATTACTATTTTTTTAAAATGTTAATTATTATAAATTTGAATACATTTATTATTATTGCTTTTAAAATAACTATTATTAAAATTAGTGATATAACATTTTTTTTTTTTTTCAAAATAAATCAGTAAATACATTAAAGCTAGTTCTAATTAGTAATCTACTAAATAATAAAAAAAATTTTCTTTTTCCTTAGATTATTTGTTTTTAGATGTTTATTATTATAGATTTTAATGAATTTATTATCTTTTTTAAAATATTTATTATTAAAATTATTGACAAAACATTTTCTTTTTTTAAATAAATTAATAAACCTTTGTAATTGAAATAATTGTCGTATAAATTTGTTGGAAAAAGCGTACAATAAAATCAACCGAACATGCAGTAATCATATATAATGCATCACTTTTACCAGCGTTATAAGTATTCAATGTCACTATCATATCATCTGCTTGATTATTAATATCTGTGCACATATCATTAAGTTTATCAACTCTCTCTTTTAAATCCATTAACATCTAAAAATAGAATTATCAATTTATGTGAGTTTTTAGTGGTTTCATAAAATTTTGCATAAAAATTCATTCATAAAATTTATTAATTCATAATTTATATGAAACATTTTTTATCAACACTTCTAATACTAATATATTAATTAAAAAATTATCAATTCATAAATTTTTAAATTTCTAAGCTTTTTTCATAAAATTTTTTATTAAAATTAATTTATAAAACTTGTCAATTCATAATTTATATCAAGCAATTTTTTTTATCAACACTTCTATACTTTTATAATTAATAGATTATTAATTTATTGCACTAATTAATTCATTAATTTTTACAATATATTACCATTTTGTTTTTCTTTGTTCACTTTTTTTTTGTTATTACGTATAAAGTATTACATATAAAAAATTTTTATATGCAATACCACTTTTTTTGCATGATCTTATCAGAATAAAAAAAATTGGCTAAGTAAATTTAAATTAGTTTATAGGATAAAAATTAGCTTTTATCATTCTGAGTTTAAATTAGTACTACTTATTTAATTTTACAAAATATATGTGTGTTTATATTAATTTGTTTTTTGCATGATCTTATCAGGATGATATTCTGATAAAGATCACATAATGTTTACTTTCTGAATTTACTTTCCAAAAATCACCAATGAAAAAAACACCACAGCTGACTTATCTCAAAGTGATATATTAAATATTTTTAGCTTTTTTTTTGTTTACGAATGATTTTCATAAATTTCAATACGTCTCGTAAAATTTCAAAAAAAGTATGTCTAATAAAATTTCAATAAAATAATATTTAAAAAATTTTCAACAAAAATATTGCATATAATTTTATCAAACGAATTCTGCAAAAATTCAAAGGAAAAAAAGATATAATAAGAAATAAATGACTTGTAAGATAGCTACCATCATTTCTTTCAATATTATAAAATTTATTTTAGTTAATTAATATTTTAAACGAATCAATGTACTATTTCATTTTGCTAATATAAGTAATTATGTGTATGATAATTTAACTACTAATAAATAACTAATATTGAGTAAATTAGTAAATGATTTTTTTTTTTTTGAATATTAACATAATAGTTTTATTATTGTTTTAGTAAGAAAATTATATAAATAAGAAACCTCGCTTGTATAAAAATTTCAATATTTTTTTGTTTATTATTTATTTTTAATTTTATTTTTTTTTATAATGTAATCCTGCATTTTGTAAATTTTTATTATTTTATTTTTTGTTTTTATTTATTTAGTTTTTTTTTCTTTTTTTTTTGATAAAACAATCTTGCATGAAAAATTTTGATGATAATTACTTACTTCATTTTGAAGAATTTCTTCCCTCTCAATTTTTTCCCTGCAAGAATGCGCCATAATGCGATAATGATCCATAGCTCCACTAATTTGCTTCTTTAAAACCTTTAAAAAATTAAAATTTTAAATTTAACTTCCTTTCAGGCATTCATTTATTGACAACAAAAAAACGAAATAAATTACAATTTTCATCATTATTTAAATTATTCAACTATTTTCTAATTAGTTGATTAATAGTAAATTATGTTAGAAAAAATGACTAAATTTTTTTGTTTTTGTTAAAGTGATAAAATATTGAATTACATCAATTCTAGCAAGGATTTGATTTTTGGTCATAACGAGCTGTTCTTCATGCTTTTTTATCATTTCGTTTTCATTTATCAATATTTTTAAACGTCTGTAACAGAAGCATTTGGTAAATTAATAATTTGAAGAATCGAAATAAAAGAAAAAAATGAATTAACAAAAGAATTTATTTCTTTTATTTTTTTTCAAAAAAAGTGATAAAGCGATTCATTTTTATTCAAATTTTTACAACCTCTTCTTGTTTTTTTTTTTCTTTTTTTTTTGAAACAGTATTTTTGAAAAAATGAAAGAATACCAAATGAAATAAATATAATTCGTATTATCCAACACTTTTTGCTATATTATGATGATAAAATCAACACCTAATATTATGGATGATAAAATCACATAAAATTAACACTTAATTGTGACTATTTTCTAACTTAATTATTTTAGTAATTGTTGTAGGAAAAAAGAACTGGAGCAATTTTACAGTATAGAAATGTATTGCTATAATTTCAAATATCTCATAATGATTGATATAAGGATACAAAATATTGCTTAAAAGATGATTATGACCTCAAATTTGACCTAAAAATATATAACGTAGCAAAAAATTTTTGCATCAGTGTTTTAAAACATGCAATATACTACTTGTTTATAATATTTAAAAAATTTTTCCTAATGTTGATAAATCTGTTGAACATTTTTGCATCAATTAATGAAATTTTTTTTTTTTTTTTTGCAAACTGTAAATTAGCATAAATAATTGCTTAAAAAATCAATCATTTCAATTAGTATAAAACTTATTTCATTAATTTATAATAAATATCATTGATACTTTCGACTTGAAAAATTAATATATATATATATATATATATATATTTAAGACGAATAACTTCCAAATTATTATGATCAATGACATAAAATTTCTTTTTTTCTCTCCCTCTCTGTCACCTCGCTTTCTATCATCATCTTTTAACTTCAAACAGTTAAGTGCTTCAAATCATCTGATAACAAAAGTTTATCATTTATTTTCTTTAAAACTATTTGAAATCCAACTGCATTTAAAAATTGACTGAATTCAATCTTTTACAAAACTACAAGAAAAAAAAAAAACGAGAGATCAATTCCAATGAGAGAAATGTTCATTGTTTATAATAAATTTTTATAAGGAATAAATTTTTCTTCAAACATTTATCCATCTTTAAATTATAGAAAAAAAAAAAAAAAGAAAAAAAGGCGATTTCATTAAATTACCTAAAAAGTGGAAAAGGAAAAACTTTCACTACATTTTTGTTTCCTATTTGTTTAATTATATTGTCTGGCGAATAAGATAATTTATTATAACTAAAATTGATTTTTAAATTTTTAGGAAAAATTGCTCATTTCAATAGATGTAAAATGTATTACTTTATCAATGATTCAATTTAAAAAATAAAAAATAGGTAAACAAACGTTCGAAAATTTGTTTCAAAAATTTTAAAAAAGTCCAAATATGCCATAAAATGATTTTTTACTGATTTAATGATGCAAGTTGTTGTTCGATTGCATTATCACTTAAATTTTCGACTTTTACTTCGACGGGTGATTTAATTTTTATAGCTAAAAATAAATCGAATAATTTGGTGTATAAAAATTAACCAATTTTCAGATTAAATATTAATTAAACTGTTTATGTAAATTTAAATATTGTTAACAACAATATTATATAAAATAAATTTTAAAAATGCTAACAACAAAAAAAATTCAACTTTGAGCTTAAATACTTTAATATCTGAATAAGTTTTTAACGTATAAATTTTTTTGATATTGTATTCTAGTTTAATATATATTTTATCAAATAATCTTTTTTCTTTCACTCAATATTTTACAGTAACATTTTCATTTTACACTTTTTGGTTTTTGTTTATTGTACTTATTTGTTATACTTATTAGAGGAAATTTACACTTAAAATTGGCAAAATTCAAAAAATTGTGTAAAAATAAAGTCATCAACCTTCAATTTTTATCTGAAATCCATTAAAAATGATGATGATGATCGAAACATTTTCCATTTGGCGGGCGATTTTTGACTATTCATTAGCGCTAAATTTGAATATTTTTAATTTTGTAAAATTACTAACAATTTTTGCACGAGAGCTTTTCAAAATCTTTTAGTTTTTCATTTCTTTATTTTTATACTTATTTCATATTTTATTAGATACAAAATATTGTTACATATAGTACATTCCAGTTAGTAGTAAAAAATAGAATTTTTTTAAAACAAAAATGTTAGAATGAGTAAATTTGTAAATGAATTAGCAGTAATATGATAAGCAATATTTTATATATATATATATATATATATATGATATGCTACCAGTTGATATTCTTACATTTTTCGTTTGTGATATCGGTCTTTTTCCTATTAATTCAACATTTTTATCATTTTCTTTTATATTCTGTGATAAATTGACATTATATGTCATTTTTGCACTTTGTAGCATTTCCATTTTTGTGATAAATTCATTTGCATGAAATTTTACATGGCATATTAAACATTTACATAATGTTATCATCAATTATGCTATATCTTACATTTTAATATTTCTGAATCACAATGAATTAATTGTATTTAAGGATGATTTATATTTATTCAAGTAACTGTTAACAGCAAATAAGTTAACAACGTTACATTTCAATTATCAAAGTAGCTGTATAATAGATGATAAATTAACGTTTAATATCCATTATTAGAGTATACTGTATAATTTTACTTGATTGAAGTAAATGTACAAGTTAACGTTACAAATCATTTTAATGATACTAAAAATATTTCTAACATGTGATTCCACTTGTTTCACATTACGATTAATAAATGATTCGTGTGATGATTCATTGTTACGATGTGATTCAACAGAATTGAAAAATATAGCTACGCGATGTTATCCGTTGTACTGATGCATTAGTTGTTTTACTTGTATTAATTATCGACAGTTCGAGTAACTGGGTAAAATAGTACCTGCTGTTACAGATTTATTTTTCTTACTTAATTTATGAAAATGATCTTTCAATTTTTTAATTGCTTGAATTGGTTTATTCATATGCCTGCAAGTAATTATTTTCTTTATTTTTCTTTTTTTGACTTATAAAATTTTGTTAAAAATAAAATTATATGTTTTCTTTTCTTTTCAATTTTATTGGAATATAACAAAACAAATTTGAAATTTATTTATAAATAATGAAGAAATATGGAAATATATCAAAAAAAAAAAAAAAAAAAAAAAAAAAAAAAAAAAAAGCAAAAAAAAAAAGATTTGAAAATAGCATAGGATGATCTTTTTTTTAAAAAAAAATTATTATTAATGATATATAGAAAATTTAAAAGTCATTAAATTGATTTTTTTTTTCAAGAAAAAGAAAAAACGGGAAACAAACTTGTCAATTTTTCTAATTTAGTTGTTTGAAAATCTTTTGGTTTTTCAGGCATCTGCTAAAATACACACTTTTTCGCATTGTTTAATAATTATTATAAATATCGCTTTAGTAAATTTTACACACCATCTAATTTTACTTAAAAAAAAGACAGAGGAGTTTTTTGTTCATAAGAAAACTTTCATTTATTTAAAAATCCATCTATGATCCTAAACATTGTTTAAATAAGAATGAAATAATACCTTTTTTTATCAGTCAACAACCGCTTTTTAAATTAATTACTAGTACTTTAAAAACATATTATCAGTACTAATACATTTTTTTAGTTTTTTACTTTTGTTTTGAATATGCAAATATTGCTTGTGGCATAAATTTAATAGAAGATTATTAGAAGTGTAATTTATTTCTCTTCAAGTTTTATTACGAAATTCATTTCTAGTTTAATTAATATAAATTGCTTATCACTAAGTAATATTATAAATTGCTTAACAGTAAGTTACATACGTTATATTAGAGTCATTTTCTTCACTATTTTTGTTATCCCCGCAATATGTTTCTCAACATATGACGACTCATACCGGTGAAAAGCCGAACAGTTGTTCGATATGCGAGAAAACTTACACACAGAAAT